GACGTAGTCGCCCGGAGACGAGAGGCGCCCTCGCAGCTCGACGCTGATCTGCGCAGAAACCGAAGACGTTAGTTTAACCTGCACGTTTCACCTGTGGACACATTTCACGGCCGTCCGTCTCACATCCAAACCGCTGCAGACGGCCATGTCGGGGTGACGCGGGGAAACCTTCTCGGTCGGGCAGGGGCGGGGCAGGTGGTTGTCGTTGCGGCAGCTGGCGTCGTTGCCCGAGATGGAGGGGAAGGAGTCCAGAGACAGGTACTTGTAGAGCAGACAGCTGAGAGAGACACACATCAAAGCATCTAAACATCTGCTCCTCGCTCCGGGCTCGAGCCAGCATCTGTGTAAACACGACGCTAACAAAAGATGAATGACGTGAGCGTATTTACTTCTGGCTGGCGTCGGGGGCGGGGCTGTAGGTGCAGGGCTCGCTCACTCTGATCTGCAGGACCGGCGCTTCGTAGTAGGCGCTGGGCAACAGCACCAGGTAGTCCTGCAGGATAGAGGAGCAAAAGTCACTCCCTGTGCACACGTGGCGTGGCGCACGGACGCCTCCTCACTGGGGTGGCGGTGGGTTGCAAAGCGGTTTACAGGTGCAGCAGCAGCTTCCACAGGGACAGCTGAGCCATGATTTATATTTGCACGTGTTTGCGTCTCACCAGCAGGACTCCCTCCGCCTCGATCACCACGGTCCAGGTTCCCGGGTTCAGCACGAAGGGCTCCACAAAGGGGACGTTGACGAAGGTCGGCTCCGCGCTGGGAGCGAAGACGATCGGCTTGGACTGTTCGGAGCCTTGGACACAAACCGAGACGTTAGGAATGAGCACAACACGCATTCCTCCCCTCTGCTGCTCTGCTAATCAACTTCTACTGATACTTTCATGTGATTGGTGGAGAACCTACCTCTGCGGCTGCCCTGATAGGCTGTTATTTGACCCTTGGTGGTGGCGCCCTCAGAGCTTATGTATCTGAGGATGAAACGAGTCAGATAGACGTCTGCCTCGCTCATATAAACTTGAAGCCTCACCGCGGTCTACGAGGACATCGTCCAAACAGGGGACAGGAGGAGAGGGGGAGGTTGGAGGGCGACAAGATCAACATTTGTCCTCAAATCCCTGAAACCTGCACTGATCTGTGGCCCTGAGGAAAGACACGGCGCCGCCACCACCAGCAGCCAAACGCAGCCGAAGCGCAGAGACCGAAGCGTCGCGAGGAAATCGAGAGAGAGTAAGAAGACTTCCCACCTCTCTGATTCCTGCGCTGCCATGGAAACACAGTCCCCTCCCAGCACTTACAGTTCCCGCAGTGGTGGCTCCGGCCGTCCTCCACGACCGTCATCCGGCCCCAAACATCCGAACCTCGCCGGTTAACATAACGCAGCACCACAAAGAAGACGTCCGGAGAGTCGACCGACACCGACACCGACACCTTTGACTACCGAGGGAGCAGAGAGCAGGACGAGGAGCAAAGTAGAGGATCAGAGGAGGCGCACAGAGAGGAGGAAAGAGGAGGAGGAAGACGAGGGGCAGGAGAAGGAAGAGCAAAAGAGACGCTGAGTAAAGGAGGCAGAGACAGAAAACACCGACACAGAAACCAGGACAAAGCGACATGATACAGTCTGTCTGTCACACGGGACAGGAAGCAAACATCTGAAATGCATGCAGAGACGTCCCGACAACAGCTGGGCCACAGCAACATAACTACACAATAACTGCACACACACATTATTTTAAACAACGTCAATAAGGATGGAAAACATCCTGCAGCTGTGTTTGCTGTTCCTCTGCCGTCCAGCAGAGGCAGCGCTGAGTGAACTGTTTGGTGGATAATCTGCTCTACAATGCACCATTAGGGGTGTGGCCAACAGAAAAGGTCAAAGGTTATGGTCCTACCTGAATCGGGGACATCTGAGCATAACCTCTCCAGCTGAAGTTGGGGAACTCTTGGGGGTTGTAGCCGAATCTCACCGGCCGGCCGTCCAGCATGCTTCCCTCCTCAATCTCAAACTTCAGGTGATGGAGGTCCGGGAAGTAGTGATCCGGACGAGGTCTGCACAGGAAGTTCAATGAGGTGAAACGCACAGGCATGCTGGGATGAAACACGGACTGAAGAACTACAAAAACTCGACCCGAGGCAACGACAGACATCTCTACATTTAACCACATGTCTGTTACAGGAGACGAGAACTATGGGAAATGGAGTCCTAACTTAGCTTCACTTCCTGAAATCTGTCCGAGGTGTGCTGAACTCACAGGTTACACTTTGGCCCCTCCACGTTGGGTCTGCAGCGACAGTGGCCGCTCCTCTCGCCGCAC